ATATAGTTATAAAATATAGTTTACAAAATTAGTAGCTAAAGCTAACCTAGGCTATTATATAAGTATTATCTTAACTAGCTCTAATAGTATATAATAATACTATTAATATATTATTTATGCTTATTACTAGTTTAAATTAGAAGATATCTAGAGATATTAGAAGGATTAGTCTAATAAAGAGATATTAGATTTCTTCTAGATTTGCTAGTAACTAGATACCTTAAGATTAGCATTTTATTTTAAGTTAGTAGTACTATAGAATCTAGCTCTCTATATCTAATAAAATAACTATTGCATCTTATTAGTTAGAGTTTAATAATATAGTTAATAGCTTTATAGAGGTAGTAAGACTCTTAATTATTAGATATAATAAGATTCTAGATAGAAAAAATATTATTGTTATTCTATCTAAGCATGTGCGTAGCATCTTATTCGCGTATATAGAGGTCTCTATATCTTTCTTAGTAGGTTAATTGCCTAATCTATTTTATGCGATACCTTCTATCTAATAGAAGGATATTTAAATATTATAGTAAAATATACTAAGGCTAGAAAGTAAAAATATATAACTATCTATATTATACGTATAGATAAGATCTGCTATACTAGAGTTCTCTAAGAAGTATATTTTCTTAGAATATTAAAAATTAAGAATAGAAGGTTTATCTGCTAGCGCTGTAGAAAAAAAGTCTATATTTTAATAGAGATAGAGCCTAGTTATAGAATAGTTTATAAATTAAGTAGTAGAGTAAAGTTTAAGATAAACTAAAAGGTTAGTAGTCTTCTATAGAACTTAGTATAAACTTTAGAAGTAAATTTAAAAGTGCTATAGATATTACGTCTAATAAATAGCTATAAGAAAGATTAGTACTAAAGTATAAATAGGTATACGTAAATATAGAGTATAGGCATAATAGTATAGTACTTATGCACTAAGATATAGTATTAGATATAGCTATCTATGTATCTTAGTTAGATATAGCAGAGTTAAGTATTATTTTAAGTAGTATTAAGTCTACTTTAAGACTATTATCTATAGATATCTTATATATAGTAGATTATTATTTATTAGAGATAGAGTTATTATGCGTAAATAGTATTAGTAGCTTAGAGATAATTTCTATTATTATCTAACTTATTCTAATACTTAAGGTAGATAAGTTTAGAGATAGAGAAAGAAAAGAGTTAAAGTTATCTAAGATTCTAATCTAAGATAAGTATAAGTTAGAAGAAGGTATATAAGCCTATAGTAGAGTATTATAAACTTTCTCTAACAGCGCGCCTTAATTAAGAGAGCTCTTAGAGCTTATAGGCTATATATTAAATAACGTAGATATTATACTAGTAAAGAAGTTTAGAGAACTAAGATAGGTAGTAATATTATTTACTTAGCCTATAGAGTCTACTATAGTAGAAGATACTTTAGTTAAAGATATAAGATTATTTATTTATCTAAGAGAAGATATAGATATAGTATTTATATTATATAAAGATATATATATATTAGTACTAGAGCTTAAGAGAGATAAAATAGAGATATAATTATAGACTTAGATATTTATATTAGTAGTAGGTTAATTGCATAATAGTATACTTATTATTATATATATTTACGTAAGCGCTATAGAATATTTAATAAAGTATATTATTAGAGGAGCTATAAGACTCTACTAAATAGGTACGTTACTTATAGCATAACTTATTATTACTAGTTACTACTAAACTTTTTTATTATACTTTTTATCTTAAAGCGCGTTTAGCCTCTAATTACTCTACCTCTATTATATACTTATATAGGCGTTCTATATTAATTATAAAAGTAAGAGAGTAGTTATAGAGACTATATATTAAACTTAATAGTATACTTTCTAGCTAGCGTTAGAATATATAATAGGCGCTATTAAAAGAGAATAATCTTATACTTATATAAGTCTTTATTAACTAGACTTTATATATTTATAAGAATAAAAACTCTTTATATAGTAATAAGAATAAAAATAGTCTATATAGCAATAAAGATAAAAACTCTTTACATAGTAATAAGAATAAAAACTCTTTATATAGCAATAAGAATAAAAACTTTTTATGCAGTAATAAGAATAAAATCTATTTATATAGTAGTAAGAATAAAAACTCTTTATATAGTAATAAAAATAAAAACTATTTATGCATGCAGTAGTAAGAATAATAATGCTCTATATAGTAGTAAGAATAAGCATGCTAAGATAAAAACTACGCCTAACTAGGCACGCTAGGATAAAAACTATACCTAATTTAGAAACTTATTTTTTTTAGCTTTATTTTAGCTAGAAATTAATTTTTCTAAGATAATTTTTTTTTTAGAAATTTTCTCTAAGTCTGTTACACGTATACCTTTTTTCTCTATACTATTAACATTAATAGAAGTTTATTAGAGTATTAACGTTAATATAGATTTATAAGAGTGTTAACATTAATAGAAGTTTATTAGAGTATTAATGTTAATATAGATTTATTAGAGTATTAACGTTAATAAAAGTTTATTAGAGTATTAATAGAATAAAAGTTTATTAGAGTATTAACAGAATAACTCTTGCCTATTAATAGAACTCTAATTAGCTATCTCTAATATTCTATAACACTATTAATGCACTACGCTATAGTAGTAATATTAATCTAAAAATTTATATATAGATAGATAGATATATAACCTACTTGCTATTAAAATTTTAAGCTCTAGAATAGTATAGAATATAAGTTATTAAGATTATACTCTATCTCTAGACATTATAATTTTCTCTAAGGCAAACTTTAAGTACTCTAAGAGTAACTAAGATTCTTAGTATACTATGCAAAGTAGAAGTAGCCTGCTTCTCTCTATAATATATAGAATCTAATAGGCCTGCTTATAAGCTTATAGTATTAGAATAATATATATAAGAGTATTATAGAATAAGTAATTTAAATATTAGATAATATAATGTATTAGATACTAGATGCATAGTATAATAGAAATAGAGTATATTATTCTATAAGACTAGAGACGAATCGCT